TTTTTGGATATGTGCACATGAGAATGTTTCTGGGAAGCAGTTCCATAGCTTTGTCCGGGCCATCAAAGTGTCATCCAACCCCTAAATGTTAAGAGTCACTGCTGCATAGTGACTGACAAAATAACAATGAGTTATGGGGCCAAAAAACTAAAATATGAGACTTGGGTCCTCCACATAATAGCTGTGTGACTTTGTTATCTATACAGATAACTTGATTTAAATAAATGCAAATATTTATTATTTATTAGAAATTCCTCATTTCTCTTAAATATGGCAAATCCACTCTGGAGGTTAACTCCTATCTGCATGTACATGTGTGCGTGCATGAGTTTATGCTTAAGCTTTTAAATATTTTTTCTGACTATATTTTCAAATGCAAACAAAAGAGGAAAAATGTATAATTGACTCCCATGTGCCCACTACTAGTTTCCATAATTATCAACTTATAGTCTATTTAGTTTCATCTATACATCCATCTCCTCTTCCTCCCCTCGCTGGATTATTTTGAAGCAAATTGAAGATATTATTATTTTATTTGTACATTCTTTTATATGTTTCTGAAAAATAAGGACTCATTTTAAACAAAATAAAGTTATCATGTTTAATATATCAATAGTATTATAATCACCACCAAATAGTACAGTAAATCCCCTGAGTCATCACTGTCCAAGTTTCTGGTTGTTTTCTTCAGGCATTATAAAAACAAGGGTCACTCAAAACTTTGGTTACTAGGGTTCCAGAGGTTCTGGACCTTTCCACATCCTCCCATGTAGGGTCCTAGCTGCCCTTCTCCGGAAGCTTCTCAACCAGGGTGTATCCAGCCAGGCTGATTATGGCAGCCACCTCAGCCATCAGCAGATAGATCTTGACAATTTTTTTTATCATATTGTTATGGCTTAGATATGTGGTGTTCCCCAAAACCATGTGTGAGACAATGCAAGAATTTTCAGAGGAGAAATGACTTGATTATGAAAGATATAATCTAATTCTCCAATGATATGAATTAACTGGGTAGAAACTGTAGGTAGGTAGTGTATGGCTGGAGAAGCAGGTCACTGGGAATGTGCCTTTGGAGTTTATATTTTGTTCATGGTGAGCAGAGCTCCCCGTGCTTCCTGTTGCCATGTCCTAAGCTGCTTTCCTCCACCTTGCCCTTTAACCATGATGTTTGCCTCAGCTTGGGCCTAGAGCTATGGAGGAAGCCTTCTAGGGACTGAAAACTCTGAAACTGTGAACAGCAAATAAACTTCCTTCTCTGTTATTCTTGTCAGGTCTTTTGGTCAAAGCAGTAAAAAAGCTGACTGAGACATGTAGCCCTTATGAGCTAAAACTCAGCCTGATATTCCTCTGGCTTCTGCCTTGATTTTCCTGATGAGCTAATAACTTTTTGACTACAAAGTCTCCTGATACCATGGCAGTTTTAAAATTTGGCTATGAATTGACTCTCTCGAAACTAAGAAGTGGAGACTGTGACTCTACTCTAATCTACAAGTTTCAACTGCTTTGGCCAATAGAGTACTACAGAAGTGACACAATGTAATTTACAAGGCTAGATAATTGATGTGCAAGAAGTTTTTATCTTTTTTTGCTGCATCAGTCAACCATGCTGTAAGGAATCTCAAACCACACAGAGAGGCCACATGCAGAAATTTCAGTTGACAGTCCCAACTGAACTCATTCTTCCTGCCATCTCTTTAGTCACATTTCTGGGGTTCTGGAAGTTTATAGATCATTTAATCCCTAATCTTTTGCATTATTCCAGATGTTTGACTGTTCCCAGTTCAGCATGTAAGTGTTGTAAAATAGAGATAAGCCATCTCATTTAAGTTTTATTAGAGTGCTATGTCTGAACTCCTGACCTAGAGAAACCATTAACATAATAAAATTGTATATGCTTATGCTACTATATTTTGTCATAGTTTGTTATACATTAAAAAAAAAACACCCACTCACTGGATGCAGTGGCACATGCCTGTAATCCCAGCAACTCTGGAGACTGAGGCAGGAGGATCACAAGTTCAAAGCCAGCCTCAGCAATTTAGCAAGGCCACAGCAATTTAGGAAGAACCTGTCTCAAAATAAAAAATGTTTAAAAAGGAATGAGGATATTACTCAGTGGGTAAAGCATCCCTGGGTTCAATCCCTGGTACAAAAAGAAACCAACCAAAAAAATTTAGTCTTTTCCATGCCTGCTGCCTTGGAAGGAACTCATGGTTTAATACAACACAAGGAATGACTATAATTTAGTTGGGAATCTAGCTAAATAAATGGACTGAGAGATCTTACTATTCACTATGCAGAATTTAATGTCATCCGCATTTACAGTACATTGATTCACTCTGGCCCTGGGCTGTGTCTGTCATCACTAAGTTCACAGTATCTTCATTTAATTTTTCTCAAGAATAAGCCTCCAGATGCCTGGCTTTATAAGAGCAGTCAGAAAGGGTCAGAGAGTCTAAGTTTCAGTCTGCCTTCATTCAGCCCTTCTTTATCCCTGCCCTCCAGTTCCTCCATCTTTCCTGGGTCCTGCAAGGTAAACTGGCTGCCTCATTTTTGGAACCCCCTTTTCAGGCACTTATATTTCAGCTGTTTTCACTCTAAGTTGAAACCACCCACCCATCAGCTTTTTTTCTTCTAAAATACTTATTGGCATCTCATATCTGCTGTGATTTCTCACCCCCTTTTCTCTGTCCTTGTGTATTTCCATCTCCTTATTCTCAGGCTCTGGCCTTCTGGAAGGGAGACAGGGGAAAGTGTCTAGAGCACTGCTCTTCTGTTTGTAAACTCCACTCAGCCCCTGCTCTCAGCCTGCCTCTCATCTCAGCCATACGCCAGGCCATTTAGTGCTGCGTTTATGCTTTGTGTGGTTTGTTGTCGACTTTCAAACCACCTTCTTATGTTCAGCCCTGTGCCTCATCCCAACCCTCCATGTACTAGATAAATCCAAGTTCTGAGCCTTGCAAGTTCTCTGTGCGGGATGGGTTAGCTTGCTGCTGGTTCCTTTCCTGTTTGGTGACTCTTGGTGTCATAGTCTCCTCTACTCTGCTAAGACAGTTATCACTTCTTCAGCCATTTTGCACCTTTCAAAATGTATAAACTCTTGCATCTGCCAATTTTATCCCTGGGTCTGTATCTTTTAATTTTCTTTATTTTTAGTGAAGTTTTGGAAAGAAAATAAATGTATATGGTCAGTACACTAAGTTTAATAAAAAATTGCCAACATTTACTTAAAAGTCACCAATGAATAATGAAATCTTCACTTACATAATAATCAGGGTTGATAGCAATCATGAATGGTAGTTGCTGTATTATATCACCCTCAGTCTCTGATGTACTTTTTTGTTTTCAAATCTTTTTATTATAATTTAATTGTACAAATTTATGGAGTACGAGTGTGCTAATTAAAATATATTTACATATATATGGTGTGTAATGATAAAATCAGAGTGGTTAGACTTTCTATCTCCTTAAAGTCTAATTTTTTTCATTAACACATAGTAATTGTATATACTTATGGGGTACATTGTGATATTTCAATAAATGAATGCAATGCATACTGATTTAATTGGGGTACTTGGCATTTCCAACTCCTTATCATTATTTTAGGTTTGGAGCATTCAGACTCCTCTTTTCCAGTTATTTGTAAAATATATAATAGATCATTATGAATTATAATTACCCCCTGTACTTAATCACTGTGTAGTATTTCATTTTTATTGGAGTACAGAGTATTAAGAAACTTCTAATTAATAGACAAGTACTTGCAAGTAGTAATGTTTTTAACAGAGTGCCTAGCAGTTTCTTGATACTACAACTCCTTCAGAAGCTTAAAAAAGCAATCATAAAAAATTCTGTTTTATTCAAAGTTGACTCACCAACAATATCTAACATAGCTCACATTTTGTCATGGGTAACTTTTCAGTTTGGAGTGAGCTGGTAAGACAGTTTCTTAAGCATACATAATTGAGATCACTACAAGATATCCAAGAATGTCTCTAAAATCTCAGAAAGACGTCTGTTCCACGCTATAAGTGGAGCACACACTTCCCTCTCTTCTTCCTGAAGGCTCATTGAAATAGCAATAAGCAAAGAAGGTCGGGTGGGGGGGAGTCATAATGAACTAAAAAGGGAAGGGCAATATCAACATGTGGAAGTCATTGGTAAGTTTTCCTCAAATAGAAGCTAGTTAATGTGATACCCGTTAATGAGCAGAGGTAGCTCCAGCTCTGAGCATGCCCAGAGAGGCTGAGATAGAGAGATGGTCAGCTTTAGTAGTGATGCCCCTGAAGTCAGGAGTTGATAGTTAGTTGTACTGAGTCCTTATTACATGCCAAATTGTGTTCTGAATGCCTCACTAGATGCTGTCTCATTTATATAGAAACCTTATATTGCCAATACTGTCTAATTCATAACTGAGAAAAAGGAGGCCCAGCAGAGCGGAGCAGCATGCTCAACGTGTTCTAGTGGGTGATGGGGAAGCTGCATGTGGAACTCAAGTGATTTAAATCCAGAACTAACTGCTTTGCCATACTGAGCCTGTTTTTAAACTGTTAAATTTATTTTGTTTTGCATGTAGATTTCAAATGTTAAGGTTCACTTTTATTCTTGACATTTTATCTGCATTTATAAGTTGGAAAGTATTCAAAGATTGCATTTTAAAATTGAGCATGTTCTGCTTATTAAAAGTCAGACAGCACCACAAACTCACAAATCCTAAAACTATCTGTGATATAATTGGATCACAACATGTTGTCCATTCACGTACTTCTTTAGACGGGCTATTTCTGGGCTATTTCAGATGCCCAGTGGAGGCATCTGCGTGTTGCCTAAAGTTGAATTGAGCACAGCATTCCTGGGTTGCTATAATGTACATATTGACTTTCGGAGAGGCCACATGCACCCACCTGAATTTGAAAAACACTAGGGTGGAGCAAACATAAAACACCTCTAATATATTTGTTTTTTCTTTAAAGTACAAGTACTACAATTTTATTCCAAAGTGTGCTTTGGAAGTTTTCAGAAAAATTTTATTCCAAAGTGTGCTCAAAAGCAAGTTAGAGTGTGTAACAAGTCAGCACATAACTCAAGGTCCCTACAGTAGACATCTGAGGGACGTCCCAGTGCTGGCTCACATGGACTCCCTTTCTGATGGAACAGGATACTGGCAGTTTATAGTGTGTGAGTCTGTACTCTTGACCACAGCAGATTGGATCTACATTTGATACTTGACACAAACTAGTCAATTAGATTCTGTCACCTGAGCATTTGGAATTGGAACTGCAATCTTCCTAAAAAAAAAAAGAAAAAAAAAAAAGAATGTGAGGGAACACATAAGGATGAGAAATAGTCTCATTAACCTTTAGTACCTGATTTCCATCTCTTTCAGCAACCTGGCTGCATTCCAGCCTCAGGTCTGTGACAAGTCCTGAGTCCCTCAAATAAACTTCTCTATTTCTGCTATAACAATTTGAAAGATTGGTGTCTGTTAGTCTAAGTCATAATCCTAAGAAAAGCCTGCCATGTGTTAAAATTCATTGTCAATATGAGTCTTCTTTTTACTTCTCATTCATTTTTGAAATGTTCAAAATATTTTAAATGAATCTTTATTATATTTGTAGATTCGTAGCTTCTGTGGAACATAGTATGAAAACCTTGCAATAGGAATGAATGATTAAATTAGTAGGAATTACAAACATCTCATTGGCAAGGTATATAATTCAAGCCTTCACTTAATTGTATTTGCAAGAAATCTTGTTTTCCTGAGGTGTTTTCTTGTATCTGCTGGATTATCTTGTTGCTTTGGGCTGAGTGGAACTCAAAAAGGAGCCTGTAGATTCCCAGGCTTTCCATGCTGCCCTGGAAGCTGTTGCCTCTGGGCTTATTTTTACTGCTGTTCCTGTCTCTGCCATGAAAAAAAAAAAAAAACCAGCTATTTATTTTCATTTGTTTCTACTTGCCTGTTGTTCTCATTGCTGATGTACCTTGTTCTTTCTCCTTGGGCTGTTCAAGGCCTCTCTAGTCCTCAGAAATCATGCCCAACTTACTCAGAGCTCCAGAGGGAAGACAAAGTCTTTGGTCTACCACTCACCCCAGGCAATTGGCAGTGGGAGCATTCATTTCCTGTGAGGCAAAGCCTTTCAACTCTTCATGGTGCCATGGATTCCCATGACCTCAACAAAATAATCACAAAATAAGTTGGCTTATTGTAGATTTCCCCAAATTTGGACTTTTCAGTCAGGTCCATAGTCATCTTGTCATGTTTATTGATTTGGATCAATTGACTGGTTGATTGGAATATTCAGAATGCAAAATAAAAACAAAAACAACCCACTTTCATTGGTCTCTGGGGGTCGGGAAAGTCAAGCTCCTGATTAGAATAGCAAAATTTTTTTTTTTAAAAAAAGCAAATATAAGAGAGAAAAAAATAATAAAAGTGCTAAGGAGAACAAACTAACACACAAGAAAAGAAAGGAAAATGAAAGCAAAAAGGAGCAAAAACTGGGGACCAAGGAAAGCAGAATGGATAGTAGAGACAGAGGTGGAGCCCACTGGCCTTGGCCCTGACATGGGCAGTAAACTGCAGGAGGGTGTAGGTAACAGGAAGAAGACTCTGTTATGCTAAGAGCACCAAAAGAATTTGGGGCAAGAGCGGGGATGCTGAAATGGAGCCAATTATATCCCATGAGTACGTGATTGTGTCAGAACGATCCCCAATATTGTGTATAACTGTGATGCCCTGAAAAAACATTTTTAAAAGAATTCTGAGGCCTAAGAGCAGCCCTGTTATATATCTATCCTTTTAAACCAATCTGAGAAGGAGCTCTAAGGTCTGGAGGGACAGTCATGAAAGGGCGTGTTGACGCGTGAACTTGAGCAGCTCTGCAGAGTGGCAGAATCAGACTGTGCCGTGTCTAAGATGCCCTGCTGGCTTGGCTTTGTTCAGCTACCCAGGGAGCATCTGCTGCATGGTCTTGGGTAACAGTGTTTGATGGAAGTTTATGATATGTAAGGAATTTTCATAACTGTGACCTCACTTGATTCTTACAACCACAGGTTGATAGTTACAGTCCTTTAAGACACTTTAAAAAGTGAGGAAACTATAAATGAAAAAGAAAAGTCATTTTCAATATCTCTTGGCTCCATGTCTCACCTTTAATTCTCTCCATTGTAACACAGTTTGACTCAATGATTAATTTAGTGGAGGCTCAGCTCTGGAAGTCAGGAAACTGCATAGAAATCCCTTCTCTTTATTTGGAACAGGCAAATAATTAAAAAGAAAGCAGATATCAAAGAAGTTTTTATATCTGAGTGTCAAATGTCCTTTCCTATGAAGTCCTATATTTTCTTTACAGGGGCAATGGGATCCTCCTTTTACATGCCCCATTTAAACTTGACAACAGTCATGCGATTTACCTTCATTTTATAATGAGGAAACTGAGGCTCAGAGAGGTTAAGTAACTTCTACATGTTACACAGCCAAACAGTGGATGAGACTGAGCTTGAATCAGGATCTAACCTGAAGTTCTGGTTCATAACCATCACTTTTTGTGGTCTCCATATACTACCATATTGGATTAAGGAAGAATTAAATTCTTTTCAGAAATCACCACCTAAGTATATCAGGAATTGTTATATTTTCGTGGACATTCTTCATCAAAAGCTGGTTTAAAATTTTTGACTTTTAAGTAAACTTAAAAGTAAACTTATCAATAGAAATTACTTTCCTTAATTACTCTTTTCCCTGCAACTATAGATGAGTTTTTTGTTATTTTACTTTTACTTTGCAAATCTTTGCTAAAGTTTATCTATATCACTTTTATCATTTAAATTTTATCATATTTATTTACATACAGTAGAAGTTTTTCTAAAAATAAAATTTCTGAGTAGTAATTCATTTCAAAACTGCATATGCACTTGCTTTATATAGGCATGAATATGACTCTGCTGGATTCTGATCGTCTAGTCCCTTTCCTTCCCTTTGCCTTCTCTTTCTCTACAGCCACCCTGGGACACTTGCCACTTCTCCCTTCTCATAAATTACATTTTAAAGGAACTGGTTTTTTTTTTTCCTCCTTATTTTTGCTGGTTTGAGCAAGCTGCATTCAGTCCAGTTTTTCTGCTGATATTTTGACACCCTTCTCCTTTTTTACTTCACTAATGGCTCCCTTCCCCCTCCTGTGCTCACAGTGACACCCGTGTCCTCCTATTTAAAGAAATGATATGGTCATTTCTCCCAAGTCAGGGTTCTAGTTTTCCACTTACCCTTCATCCCAGAAAGTTAAATATTTAAAATATGCTCATTATTCCATCTCTAGTTCTCCCCTGCCACCTGCCCTGCCCACCATGAATGAATCTTTTAGAATAGAATCACTTGGTTTTCTTTCTAGATTTTGCAGAGGTCTTTAAAAACCTTTGATATGTCCCTATTTTTCAAGAGTTCATTTTTAATCACTTTCTGGACTCAAAACATTCCAGTCTAGCATTGTGTGCGCTACTGAAGGATAAACACATCTTGCCAGCTTCCTTGCTCAGCACCATGTCCTTCCCACCACCTCTCCATAATGTAGAGTTCACTTTGGTCTTGCCATTATCCTTCCAGTCCACTAACCTGATCTCAGCAATTACCATCTTCTTTATCTATTGAAATGTCTAGTGGGAAGTTATCTTTTTTTAAGTCTGGAAAGTCTCTTTCCCCCCATATTTGTGAAATTCTTTAAGTTTTTTTTTTTTTTTTTTAGTTTCCTGCTAACAATTTTCTTTCTCTCTAGCAGCATCTTCAGTTCACTGTGCATGAATTATTTGTTCTGGTTGATGGGCTTCTGTCTAAATGCTGGGCTCCATAAACTGAGTGCATGTGCCAGCTAGCTCACAGGGACTCAGTTTGGCTTCTTAGAATACAGTGAGGAGTATCTGTCCTACAAGCATTCCTCAGAATCTTCTGTTTAAGATTCTTATCTCTGAGTTATATGGTGTGGGAGGGTAAATTTAAGGAGAAATTAGAGGTGAAAATAAATCTAAAAACCTAATAAATATAATGTGTAGATCTTACATAGACCTTTGTTTCAATAAACTAAAATAGGCTCTATTTAGGAAAATCCAAACACTAAAAATTGATATTAAGCCATTATAACTTTTAAATGATAGCATGGAATTAAGGTGATACTTTTAAAAAGAAACCTTTTCACTTGGGGTCATACTACCATATTTATGAATAAAATTATATGAGGATTAAAATTTGCTTGAACATAATTGAAGGTAGTTGGGCATGGTTACAGGTGAATGGCCTTGCACTTAAGTAGAACTGGTCTCCTTTCCCTCCCTGTGTAGGCAGACTTTTCTTCTCCATGTAGTCTTTCCATGTAGCCTTTTGACAACAGAGCTGAGCTTCTCACATGAAGTTTTCCCAAGATTACAAAACTGAGAGTTGCCAGATCTTCTAAAGACTTGGGCCCAGAACTGGCACAGCATCCCTTCCTTTGCATGGTATTGGTTAAAAGGAGACACAGGGTTATCCCAGATTTAGTGCAGGAGAAGACTATGCAATGGCATGAACCCTGGAAGGCATAGTTCATGGGGCTAATTTTTGAAGACAGCTTTCATATCTATTGTACAAATTGAAACTTTAAAGTTTTAAAGTTAAGATGTTTTCCCCCTCAGAGGACTGTTGTGCACAGCCATTTGTGGTAGGTGGAGAGGTCAGGGTCTTTCTCTTCCCCAGTCAGCTTTTCCCTCCAGCTTGCAGTGCTTCTGGCCCAGCTTGTACTCAAGCCCAGAGAGGCAAAAGCAGTAAGAAGGGTGGAAGTTAGATGGTGTCACTCTGGATTCAATCAATGTAAGTTGAATTCCTTCTGCCATGATGGACAAGTGGCTACAGCAGAACCAGTGAATCCCATAAGTTCCCTTGAGATTTCCCTCCAGGTAATTGGGAACTTCTTTCTTACTATACTTTCCTTCTGATGGTACTTTCTTACTGTACTTTCTACTGATGCTCCTGTGTGTCTCTGTGCTCCCCTGAAAGTTCAAGTTTTCTTTATGCTATTTAATAAAGACATTCTGCCAAAATTGCCTCATGGCTCATTCCCACCCACTCAAAGTAATCTTCTTGGGCAGAATCTAGCACAAGTCCAAGCCACCTATATCATATTTTCTTCCCTTGGAAATTACTCACACAGCATTTACCCACCAATCCTGGAATAGAAATTGGTCTCAACATAGTGGCATCTCCTTCATGGAAAACGTTGGAGTGGCTAGCCAGCCACCTCTTCCGGATTTTGGATTTTCCAGGAGGCAGTCAAACATTAAGTCCATTTTGTCCACTTAATGGCAGGGAACATATGAAGCTCTTCAAGTGAATTCCTAGATCTTTTCTTTTGATGAGGCAACAGTCCCAAAGCAATGGGAATGGAGGGTTTACACATCAGCTGTCTCCAAATAAATCTCCTAGGTACCACCCCAAGCTTTTCAGACCCTCAGGATTGGCAAAGAATTTAAGAATTGTGCCCTGGGTTTTCAGGACTTCTTTTTGCAAGTCCTGAAAATGAGTGTTCCATTTCACTTTTGTTTCTAATTTCCATTGTATCTTGTCTCCATCTAACTTTCAATCTCATATCCTACTGTAAATGATCTATATGTACAAGCTGAGTTGACAGTCCTATTCCTAATCCATTTTTTTTTGTACCAGGGTTTGAACTGGAGGGTGTTTAACCACTGAGCCAAATCCTCAATACCTTTTTATATTTTATTTAGAGACAGTGTGTCTCACTAAGTTTCTTAGGGCCTTGCTATTGCTGAGGCTAACTTTGAACTCATGATCCTCCTACCTCAACCTCCTGGGATCATAGGCATGTGCCACAGCTTCCAGCCATCTATTTGTTTTGCATACCTTTCTGAATGTTCTAAAAGGTTTTCTTACCCTAGGTACATTGATTTGGATGGATAGAGGACATAGCTATTTTGAAAACACAGAAAAAAATATATTTATGTTTTAGAAAAATTTATATCCTCAAATTCTCATATATATTACCCAAAGGAAAGACTAAATACTAATGGACTCCCTCTACTCTACAGACATTTGTAGTCTAGAAAATGGGCTACAACACTGACATAGGTGGTCAGTAATTGTGGGCTCACCTCAGAGGGGCAGGCAGTGATGACAACAGAAGGCTACACGGGGGCTTCTCTTTGTTTAGCACTGCTGTATGAAGAAAACCACAAGGTGGTGTAAAGAAAATGGGATAGTAAAGGCCTTTAATTCTTTTGTGAAGTACTTGGAAACTATTAGTAAAAGATGTATATAACTTCCTGAAGTTATTCTTAATCCTTCAGTTTGTATTAATGCATATTACAAAAGAACATAAGACAATTTTAAAATGATGTAAAGTAATAAGAATGCAGATCTCATTTTATATATTTACTGATTATTGGTTTTGACTGGTTTGTTCTCTAGTTTGCATCTTGAATGTCCCCACAAGTCCATGTATTAAAGGCTTGGTCCTTGAAGAGGTGGAGCCTAGTGGGAGGTCTTCAGGCTATTGGGTGAGTGGCTTGGAGGGGACTGTAGGACCCCGGTGTCTTCCTCTCTCTCTTTTTTGCTCTCTGGCCTTAGATAGTTTTGTTCTATCCCATGTTCCCATCATGAGGTTCCATCACAGGCCCAAAGCAACATACCCAATAAATTAATAAGTGGAACCTCTGAAACTGTGAACCAAAATAACCTTTTTCTCTTTGTAAGTTGATTATCTCAGGTATTTGTAACAGTAACTAAAGGCTGACTAACACAGTTTATCCATAAAAGCACCTAGCTGAAAAATGGTTATTGCTACAACCTCAGTCTTTTGTGCTGGCTTCTGGTGTTTATAGATTTCTACCTGAACTTTACTTAGGCCAAAGCTCCAGCTTTTTTTTTTTTCCCAGCTATTCTCAGATTACCTTCCCATTCCATCATTTATTTCTAGTTTTGCTCATTACTTTTCAGGAATATTCGAAACTGTACATTGAATAAGTTACAACATGCCAGGCTTATGATCTAGAATGTTAACTCATGTAAAATATTTGTCCCAGTACTTCAGTAATGACCACACACACACACACACCACACACACACCATACAGTTAACAATTTCACCCCCAAAATAAATTTTATAAACCCTTTCCTCCATGGAAGCAATTCGGTTGGCTCTCACACTGACAAGGCAGAAATAATTTTTTCTAGTTGCACTGAAAATGAACAATATGAAAAGAGGAGATCAGAACAGAAGCTGAATGACCCAGCCCATAAGAGTTCCTGATTTCCCAGGTGATAATGTACATTAATAATGAATAAGGGAGGCCTAACAACTCTCACAAAGAAAAATTCAAATCACCTGAAATGTGCAAAAATGAGCAAAATCTATAAAGAAAAGATCATTTAGGACCATCTAATATATGCAACAGCTTGATTGCACCATTTTTCTAGCCAGGGAGCACTCTAAGCCTCAGTGACTATGCATGGTTACACAGGCTGGGTATACTGTTCCAGGCCTCCAGGGATGCATTGACATAGAAAAGTTTAATAATGCAGTGTCCATGTCAAGTCTCTTGGGGAGACTTACTGTTGATTCCCTAACCCAATATGTGGCCCCTGAGTATATTGAGTGCAGGAACTTCCTCAGAGGTAGATAGAGGGACCAATAAATGTTGTATTCAATGTAACAGAAGAACTGTATTTAGTGGGGAAAATATGTGCAAAATTTTAATACAGATACTCTTCAAGGAACTCTTCCCCCCATATTTTTATGGGTATAATTATACATAATAGTGGGATTCATTGTTACATATTTATACATATGCACTATATAACAATATAATTTAGTCAATATTATTTTCCAGTATTTCCTCTTTCCTTTCCCTCCTGCCTCCCAGATTTTTTTAAAATAAAAATAAATAAATAAAAAAAAACAATCTGTCTAAAGACAAACTTATATTTTAAAACTAACTTTTACTAAGCAAATTGGTTGGTTAATTTAAACACACACACACACACACACACACACACACACACACACTAGAATTGCGCAAAACCAATTGCTTCTGAAAATGGATTACCATATGCAAAAAGTCATTCAGTCATAAAGAGTAATTGTGCTTGCTCTTGTTATAATGACTCCTATGGCTGCGGAGCAGCAAATGAATATAGTGCATACTTAATATTATTTAGCAGTAAAGTGCTCCCCCTTGTGGACATGCATTGGAATTCTAACAAAAAGGATAAAATCTGTTAAAATACTTTTCATCTCCTCTCAATGTTTACAGAATTTATAAACAAAAGTGTGGGGAGAATAGCTATTTCACTGATGAACTAAATATAAGCTGTAATATGATATAAAAATTTACCTTAGGGCTGGGAAGGTGACTCAAGCGGTAGTGCACTGGCCTCGTATGGGGGCACTGGGTTCAATCCTCAGCACCACATAAAAAATAAAGTTGTTGTGTCCACTGAAAACTAAAATATAAATATTAAAAAAATTCTCTCTCTCTTTTAAAAAAATTTAACTTAAAGTCAAGGCCTTTTAGGTTAATGAAAGGCTGAGACAAAAATCCATTTTAGCATTTTGAGTAGAGCAGGTAATATGATCTTAATGTTTGTGTCTCTCCAAAATTCATGTTGAATCCTAGTCACTGAAGTAATGGTATTGGAAAGTGAAGTCTCTGGGAGGTGATGGGATCATAAGGGATCTTCCCTAGTGAATGAATTTGTGCCTTTATAGAAGAGGAACTGAGAGCTGCCTTGCCCTTTCCACCATGTGAGGATGTGGAAGGAAGGCACTATTGAAGAGCCCTTCTCCACACATGGCATCTGCCAATGCCTGGATCCTGAACTTAGCCTATGAAACTGTGAGAAATAAATTTGTCATTTCTGAGAGGCCCAATCTAAGGTATTTCGTTAGAACAGTTCAAAAGGACTAAGATAGCAGGGATTTTCAATCTGAGTACTACTGACCTTTTGGACTAAACAATTGTTTTTGTGTAGAGCTGTTCTATGCATCTTGGGGTGTTGATTACATCCTGGACTGATGTTTATTAACATCCCTTACTTCTACCCACTTGATGCCAGTAGCAGCCCCTGATAGTCCCACCAGTTCTGGTAATCAAAACTATCTTCAGATACCATCAAGAGTCCCTGGGAGGGTAAGATCATCTTCATTTGAGAGCCACTGGAGCGGAGAGACAACATGATCTGACATCTTTTCATAGGCTCACTCTCTGCTTTTCTGCAGGGAAGAGACAACAGGCAACAGAAATATCATTGAGAGGGGAAATGGTAAAAAGTGCTCAAATCCTGGATTCTGAAAGTTCAAGCTGACAGAAAAAGGACAGCTATAGTGAGAGAAAGATATGAATAATCAAGGATAACATGAAGGATTTGGGCCTGAACAACTAAAATTGAGTTTCTATTAACTGAGATGGGAAGTCAGAAGGAAGTATGGTCTTGGCTGCCATTTGGACTGGGTGGGTAAGTGGGGGTGTAGCTAAAGAGCACACGATTTTGAACACGTAAAATTTGAGAGATTTTTTTAAGACTCCTAAATGGAGATTCAAGTTGCATTGAATATAGTCTGGAAATGAGGAAAGCCAGATTGTTAGCACAAGTTTGAGAGTCATTAGGCTTATAGATAATATTGGTTGAATGCACCTAGGAAGTGAATGGAGTCTTGAATAAGTCCTACCCTTCAATGTAAGGAATATGGGAAGGAATCAACAACAACAACAACAAAAAAGACACAGTAGGAATGTGATAAGACAATGCGATATTCTGGAAGTCATGTATTTTTAACAGCTTTTACATGAAATGGCTTTATCTTAGTAACTGCCTCTTTCATGTGATCACTTGTGAATATGAGCCTTGTCCATGAAAGGACAAAGTTCTTGTTGTTATGTTCAGTGCTGGGGATTTAACTCAGGGCCTCCTGCAAGTTAAGCAAGTGTTCTACCCTGAGCAACACCCTCAGCCCCCATGTTGTTATATTTTAATGTCTTAATTCCTTTTGTTATTGAAAGAGACAGAAAAGAAGAATGGAAACAGGAATCAAAATTGCATCATGGCATAATTATAGACATTATTCATAAGTAGGGCTGGAAGAAAACACAAAAAATAAATACATAGATGTGGCCAGGCAGAATTGTGGATACTCTTTCTTTGGCTCTGTCTTTTCTTTCTATGTTTTTAGTACTGTTCTTTTTTCTTCTGTTCTCAGTAAACATGTATTATCTAAGATGAGTCTAATTTTGTAATTTATTATAAAAAACTCAAATTTACAGAAAATTTGAACAGCAAAGTGAACCACCCTGTACTGTATACATCACTCAGCTAAAATGAACAACTCACAGCCAATCCTGCTTCATTTATATTCCCTATTCATCTTCCTCCACTTTTAATTTGAAGCAAATGCCAAAATCATGCCATTTTGTGGTAAATATTTTAGTGTCACTAGAAAGACTCTAAGAAAAGCTGGGTATGGTGGCGCACGCCTGTAATCCCAGTGACCTGGAAGCCTGGCAGGAGGATCACAAATTCCAGGTTAGCCTTAACAATTTAGTGAGGCCCTAAGCAACTTAGCAAGACCCTTTTCAAAATAAAAACCAAAAAGGGCTGTGGATGTGGCTCAGTGGTTAAGTGCCCCTGGATTCAATCCTTGGTACCAAAAGGCAAACAACAAAAACAAAAACAGTGGGGCGCCGTGGCACAAGCCTGTAATCCCAGAGGCTTGGGAAACTGAGGCAGGGGGATTTCGAGTTCAAAGCCAGCCTCAGCAATAAAAGGGAGGTGCTTAGCAACTCAGTGAGACCCTGTCTCTAAATAAAATACAAAATAGGGCTGGGAATGTGGCACAGGGGTTGAGTTCAAAATCAACCCCCCAATGCCATCTTCCCCCCCAAAACAAAAGACATAGTTAAAAATACCATTATCATACCCAAAAAGTTAACAGTAATTTTTAAATTGTTAAATAATGTGTGAACTTGCATTTCTTCCCCCCCCCCTTTTTAAGTTTTTAAATTGATTTAGGGTCTAAATCAGGTCCACACATTGTGATTGGTTCCTATTTCCTAAGTCCCTCTTATTCTATAGGTTCTACCTTTACTGCTCCCACCCTCACAAAACTTACTAAAACGGTTGTGCCAATTGCATTGTTTTGTTGTCAGTCAACATGACCTTCAATCCTATTTGCTTTTAATTGGTAGATGCTTCATCAGATTAAGGTGTGTCTCTTTGGCAAGTGGCATAAGAATGTGCTTTTTTCTATTCTTTTAGCAGCTCTTGATGACCAATGCTCATCTCTTTTAGAAGTTGCAAAACGGTGAGATTGTAATTCCATTGTTCCTTTTTCATGTATTAAATGGAATTTATTTTTAAAGAGAAATAAGTTTTCATCTAATTTACCTACCCAGCAACACAGTTTTTACTGCAAAGTCAGAAAATATTATTTTACATTCATTTACCCATTTTCAAAATAATTAATCACAAGCCATCCACCATTGGTGACTGACTAGAGCTTTGTTTTTGCATAGTTTGTCTCTTTAGTATCATTCTGAATTCACGTACATAAATTCATTCAACATTTCAACTCACTGCTGTATTATTATTATTATTTTGGTACTGGGAATTGAACCCAGGGTCACTCAATCACTGAGTCACATCCCTAGCCCCCCCCCTTTTGTTTTTTTTTGTATTTTTATTTAGAGACAGGTCTAAATTAAGTTGCTGAGGCTGGTTTTGAATTAGAAATACTCCTGCCTCAGCCTCCAGAACCTCTGTGGAATTACAGGTGTGCATACCTCACCCAACTTGTTATTTTCTATATTACTGTTCACATTATACTACATTTAAATTGGCTCATCTATCCTTTTGAAAGCATACAAAATAATCCTTGTACTTTTCTTGCTATTTGATCTGACAAGAGGTTACAGGTTCTTCTTCATATATTTCCTGCTGAATGTCTATTTTTTTCTCAGATAAAACAGCTTCAGTTTATACTCACAATTCTAACTAAAAATAAGACCACACAGATTTTACTTGTGTCTCTCCTTTTCTTCTAGTCAAAAATGCCAGAATGATGTAACAAATGGAATTAGAACATCACATAATTATTCACTTTATTTATCCCACAATATTTTATCCTACACTATCTTAGAATAATAATACTGACATTGCCAAGATTTCAGCCAACAGATTTTTTTTTTCATTTTTCCCCATTAGGATATATCCAACTAGGGAGGTACAAATTATTGAAGTTTATATCACTTAAAACAACTGGATACACATTTATGTACATTTGCTCCATTTTAAGAGTTTATTTCATTTTAAAATATTGTAAAATTTGTAAATGACTCCAAAATCAAATCAACAAATATGGTAAATATATTCAAAGAAACCCAGCTTCTCCCCTCCTCCAATCTATTCATTTCTTCCCAAACTTATTAGTAACCATTTTTTCAAAAAATGATGATTAATCCTTCAATTCATAAAAAATAATTTGGCATGTATGTGTATGTCCTAACTCTTCTTAAGAAAACAGTAACATGCTTAATACACTTCTGTATTTCCTCTTCCTAACTAAGAATGTACTACGTAGCGTAGCTAACTTGTTCTTACCACCACATAGTATCCATTGTGTGGCTCTCTCATAGTTTTTAACCAATTCTCTGATTTTGATTGTTTTCTGATTTTTGCTATTACAAATAATTTTGCAATAGCTTTGAGCATGTCTTTTTTTCCCAAGTGTATATTTGGGATAGATTCCTACAAATTGGATTGCCAGGTCAGAGTATAAATTGATCTATAATTCTGCCAGTTATTAACAATATCTACCTTCACAGGGACCTTTCTTCTATGACCACCTGCAATGTATACAAAGTTTAGTTTCCCCACAACCTTATCAACAATGCTGTCAAATTTGGATTTTGCATCAAGTAACTCTACTTTCTTTTAATTATGTTATTATCAATGAGGCTCAGCATCTTTTGATATGCTTAAGAACTATTTGCTCTTTTCCTATGAACTGTCTATTCATTTCTTTGATTCAGTTTTCTGTAGGGTTATATTGCTTTTTGTTTAGAATGCAAGACTCCAGTCTCTAAACCTAATTGTATTTCTCAGATTTTAGTTTTCTTGAGAAGTGGTGACAAACACCATATTCCATAGTCTATCATACCAGTATTAAGCATCAGAGAAATACTGGGCTTTTGTTGTTGTTGTAACTTACCAGCTTGTCAATTTAAAAAAAAATGCTGCACCTTATACGTCAATGCATTATTGAGAAGTGAGATTTTTAATCTGCTTATAAGCTTGTCATATCCAATTGCCTTTGCAGATTATTCTCAAATTCTTACGTATATCTGACATGATGACTATATATATCTCCTTAAAAATGATTATCATTTATGCAGAAACCTTGCTGCATACAAGACACTTAAGTCAAATAATCTTGAATTTATTTGGAAAACAGGATGTTATTAAAAGTCAATATATAAGCCATTTATAGTTTGCTGCTTTGGGTGGAGATATAACATAAGAGAGTTGAAGAAAATGATTTCTAGTTTTCTTTAAAAGTATAAAATGATCTGGTCATATACATAACTTCTGTTTAAAAAATTTAGTGGTCTCTCTGCCCAAACTGCATTTTAAATAGGGCTTCAAATAACTTTTCCAAGTTCATGCCACAATTCTTCCAATAATGTCTTCCATCCATTATTCCTTAAACCAAATTTTTACCACCACGTGTCTTTTCTTACATCACTGGTTCAACAGTAGAACCTATTTCCAAAGCATCAGCATTGAGAACTTATAAATGCAAATTCTTGGGCCCCATACCAGACCTACCAAATCAGAAACTGATGAACCCCAGCAACATATGACTAACAAGCCTTCTAGGTAACTCATACATATTAAAATTTGAGAAATCAATTAAAATCAATCCCATGATTCTTGGAATTCCCTTTCTAAAAGCTACCAGCTTTTGCTATACTGTATAATACCTAAGTTATATATTTTTCATTTATAATTATCTTCCCAATTGGTCTATAAGTTACTTATCATGTCTTCAATTTTTTATCCTCCTGACATGGTATGTATTTTCCAAAGCTTAAACAAACACATGCTATATTTAGCTTTCTCTATTGTTTGAAATAATAGCTCAAATACAATTGGCCAACAAGTACATGAAAAAATGTTCAACATCTCTAGCAATTGGAGAAATGCAAATTAAAACCACACTGAGATTTCATCTCACTCCAGTCAGAATGGCAATTATCAAGAATACAGGTAACAATAAATGTTGATGAGGATGTTGGGGGGAAAAGGTACACTCATACATTGCTGGTAGGATGCAAACTGGTATAACCACTGGAAAGCAGCATGGAGACTCAAAACTTGGAATGGAACCACCATTTGACTCAGCTATCCCACTCCTCAACCCATATATTCAAGACTTAAAATCAGCAAACTATAGTGCCACTGCCACATCAATATAGCAGCTCAATTCACAATTGCTAAACTATGGAACCAACACAGGTACCCTTCAACAGATGAATGGATAAAGAAAATGAGGTATATTTACACAATGTAATATTACTGGCAAATGCCAATAAATGTATGGAACTGGAGATTATCATGATAAGTGAAATAAGCCAATCCCCCCAAACCAAAGGCTGAATGATCTCTCTGATATGCAGATGCTAACACACAATAAGGGAGTGAAGAAAAAAAGTTCATTGGATTAGACTAAGGGGAATGAAGAGACGGCAGGGATGGGATTAGGAAAGGCAGAATGAATCAGACATAACTTTCTTATGTTCATATATGAATATACTACCAGTGAAACTCCGTATCATGTACAACCACAAAAACAGGAAGTTATAGTCCATGTATGTATATGTCAAAGTATATTCTACTTTCATGTATATCAAAAAATAAAAATTTAAAAAAAAATCCTCCCCACCAAATAGCTTTACTAAAGTAGACTGAATCAATAGGAAAAAAGACTTCTAACTTCTAATGCTTAGCCTGAGCCATTCCCCACATATCTGTTGTTCTGGGATCTTATATTGGAAAAAAGTAGCTGGTGGGGGGCATATTATTTATAGCTGGGTCAGTAATAGCCCTTGAAGAAATCCATGCTGAATATCCTTGGAATCTGTGAATATGGTACCTTATAGAACAAAAGGGACTCTGCATATATGACTATATTAAAGAACTGAGATGGGGGGATTATCTTGTTCATCTAGGTGGACCCAATGATGTCCGAGAGAGAGAAAGCTATATGATGATGAAGGCAGACAAATTTGGAATTTCATACTTCTGGCTTTGAAGACAGAAGAGGGGTCAACAGCTCACAGATAGCAAGGGAAGCTGGAAAAGCAAGAGAACACATTCTCCCTTAGAACCTCTAGAAGGAACCAGTCCTTCCAACACCTTGCTTTTAACCTACTGAGACAAGTTTTAGATTTATGGCCTCTAGAACTGTAAGAGAATTAACTTTGTTGTTTTAAGCCACAAAATGTGTGGTAATGTTACAACAGAAATAGAAAATTAATACATACAAACTTTTGCCAAGTTTTTATTGTGAAATATTGGATTTAGAAAAAAGTACAAAATGTCAACAGTCAGATGTGTACAAGTACAGTATTTCAATAGTCTATACATGTGAACAGCTTACCAGGTTCACTGCCGAATGTTTATTTAGACCAATACAATCTAAAAAGGACTGCAATATTCACAGGCTATTAATACACAAATTACTTGAGCCAAAATGACCCTAACTGGTAAATGCTAATTAATTGTGGAAAACAGGCTAGAAGCACAATACAGCACACCATAGTATCCCCTTACAGGCCCACATTTAAAGAATATCAGCTCATTATGTCAATACACTACAGATCAGGACTGGGACTCAATTACTAATTTATACAATTATAAAAAATTTAAATTATAAAAAATAAGGTAATGGAATAAAGAGAGAGTATTTAATTAGGAAATACTGTGAAGCCCCTAAATGGTTTTAGCCTTGAAATGTATAAAGCTTAATCATTTAAACTGATTTTCTATTTTAACTTTAGATAATGGGAGATGGGCAATTTTCTTGTGAAGCATTTTCAGGAAGGTATAAAAACCATCACACAGTTTACGGTAGAATCATAATCTCCGTGGATTGACAAATGGCTATGAAACCAAAATATAAAACATTAAAATTTTTAAAGAATGATCATTTATGAACTCAGCAAATATTGCAAATACTGAAATCCATGTTAAGGCAGTATCTACCATGGTTGAGAGTACTAAATTTAAGAAGAGTACTGCATGAAGGTCTCATTTTTAAAAACCAGCTTAATTTTTCCAAATATGGCTGATTCAATCATTTACTATTTCTTGAAAATTACCTTAGATTATGTGTTTCCAAATTGGACAAAGATTAATGAACAACTATAGAATAGTCCACTGAAACAAGAATGATGTTAAAAAGAATTGCTATACTCATGTCCTTTATAAAGCCAATTTGATATGAAATTCATAATCAACTTTTAAAAACAAAACCTTCAAAATAGATCAATTTAAAATTTACTGGAAATTTATCTTTACCAAAAAATTTCTAAGGGAAATAACTCTTTTCCTCTATACAGTGTATATTTTATAATGCCTGAGGGTTTTAATATTGAACTAAAAGTCTGAACTGATGTTAAGTAGATCAATTTCCACTATAGACTGAAAAAAACTAGATCTGAATTTTAGTCAATAACTTCATGTAACACACCCCACACTATCTTAACCTTTTTTTTTTTTATAGGCAATTTTGAAGACTTTGAGACAATTTACTTATAAATAGTGCCTGAACATTATAGTAGACTCAATTTATTCAAAGGTAAGCACAGATTAGAATATAAAGTTATTTAATTTTCCAGATTTGCATTAAGTTTACAGAATAAGTATTGTGCACATAAATATTAACTTAGATAACCACAAGTTATGGGGAAAGCAGATATATGGACCGCTGCAGAAACATAAACTTTAAAGAAATTTTATATATAAAATATGTATATAAAGTAAAACATGTAATTCACAAAATATGAACATGAAGCCACATACCATAAAAAATAAAAACACTCTATCAGAAATGATTTAAAATTAAATCTTTAGGGAAGTACTTCAATATAATTAAATGAATTCAATGACCAACAGCTTCCCTTACACATAGAAAACCAACCATAAATCACCTAAAGTCTCTATGCATTATCAGTTAGTTCTTTAATGCAACCTCAAATGTTATTAGCAACTTTTATTTCTTTTGAAATAGGCTTCTATACATATGTATTTATATACAAACACTTATTGAACATGATTTTAAAACAAATTGTATGTACAAAATATCAGCATTCCTATAAATAAAAACATTAGGTGGCAAAAAGGCACTTGTAAGTAAAAATCTACAGTAGTTTTTACAAAACAAAAACACATTTTACCTTGGATACTGTACAATAAATGTTAATTCCTATACCAGTAATGAAAATGCTAGGTTACTAACTAATGTTAATGATGTAAATTTTAAAAACATATTTACATATACTCTGAAGTTCATTTAATAAAAGCACCATGATTCTCTCCTAAATTCATGTTGATGCAAAGTAAAAATACAATTCCAAAAAAACCAGTGTTCACCATTTTCCTGTTTAAAAGTTTTTGTATTTCTAAATTGAAAACTAATTTTTTTTCTGAAATTAGCATAGTGTTAAACAAAAACCCAAAAAACCCTACTGCTCTTACTTCTTAAAACCATACCTACCTCTATTATTGCATGTTTCATTTCATAAAGAGCACTACTCATGCACTCCTTTACAACTGTTTAATACTATTGCTGGCAAGAATTTCCTGGATATCAAATAATTAGAAAGGTACTTCAAACCAGTTGAAGTTTTTATTTGAATGTTTACAACTTAAAAAATGCTGTATATCAATTACAAAAAGTGAATAGGAAACACACCAAATTATTTGGTGTGCAAAAATATTTTCTACAACACAGAATTTAAGGGCTTCACAGAATTTTTTTCCCCAAATTTACACTATAAGCAGAAACACTAAATAAACAACCTTTTCAAGGAGATGTTAGTATGCTTCCACTTTTGTCAAACTTTTTACCCTTTGACAATGCTGCAACCTGTTTGAGTAGTTCTCTGTTTTTGGCCTGTGAGAGACAAAAATTCAAGATTTAAAAAGTATGAAATATTATAAAGTCACGCTGCAGAATACTGTTTTTTCATTTCTATAACAAAAGATTAAAATAGTAACGGATCAAATGAAAGAGTTGGTGCGTTTAGATTCTTCCTTTTAAGATTAAACAGGTAGAAGAAAAATTCTAGATATTGGTTTAATGGATCCTTTTTTGGTAAACGTCAGTATTAATATAATTTATGTGCAAAGATAAACTTGGTCACAAAAAAGGCAACAAAGTGAGTCTGCTTAAAAGGTTCAAGTTTTAAGTAGGAGAAACAATTTGGTCCTTTATTTTAAAACATGACATGAGCAAGCTGTATAAAGTCTTTCATTTGATTTTTACCTTCTTGTAGAACAAGCCTAAGCAATTTTTTTTTAATAAAAATTATCCCCTTTATCACTTCACCAAAGATCTTGTTTTACATACCCATTAGAACCACTCTTCCTGATCTTATTTTTGTTTCTTTAATTGTCATATAGTCATCTGGTACTGGCTTTGTAGGATCTAAGTAATTTCTATCATTAGTGCTTTTACTTTCAATAAAGGCTATTTTTTTTTTTTTTTTGCCAAGATTCAAAATTTCTTTGCCAACAACCTGAACTGAATTTAACACTGCACTATATAATGTCCCAACCATCACTGACAAAGACATTGCCCCTCAATCCAATGTGCTACAACAGTCACTAGTGTTTAGTGTGGAGGACTGTCTAAGTAGCTACCTTCAATGAGTATTTTCATATTTTGACTGCCTTTGCCACTCTATGCAGTTTCTTGACTCTGGAAACTTTGATAAAAATCTCTAGTACATACAAATATATTAATGATCAAGCATTTGCCAAGTTTTTGATCCAAAGTATAAAGAATGATAAAAATAGTTTGAAATTTGAGCACTGTCCTAAAAATAAAAGTTTTAAAGATATCCTTCTGTTTGAAAACTACTCACAGGTTTTAAATTCTTCTATTTAGACAGACTTCTTTAATGTTAGTGCTTCATTTTCTACTTTAATTTTAGCTTCTGTATGGCCAAATAATATTTTACCTTTCCTGTATGCCATCTTAATGTAGATTCTTAGGCTATGTACTTCTACTCCCCTGGATGTCTACAAACTCTTCCTAAGTAACACATATGGCTTCCAAAATGCAAATATTTTCAGTGGTCTCTTATATGTGCAACCAAATCATCTTTCATGTTTGTCTACATGATGAGTAAGGTTTTCATATTCAATAGTTATCAAATAATTAAAGTGGAATTACTTTTCATTCAAAATCAATATTAACTTCAATTCTAGAAAGTCATCAAAATCAAAAAGGAGTTTTATTTTCCCTTTAAAATGAAACAGCCTGGGGGCTGGGGATGTGGCTCAAGTGGTAGCACGCTCGCCCAGCATGCGTGCGGACCCGGTTCAATTCTCAGCACCACACACAACAAAAAAAGATGTTGTGTCTGCCGAAAACTAAAAAATAAATATTAAAAATTCTTTCTCTCTCCCTCTCTTTAAAAAAAAGAAAGGACCTACTAAATAAAATAAAATAAAATAAAATGAAACAGCCTGAAAAACAAAAGGACAAATCAAGCAAGAATGCGTGGGAGTTGGAAGTTGGAGGAAATGAAGTAGCAATGCACATTTATTCAATTTATTACTCAGCGGAACAGTTATGGTCAACGTGGTAGTTTAAAAATTTTCACTAATTGTTAGCTACACATTATTTAATTCATGACCATAATGGATCTACTGTCTAAAAACAGGAAAAATTAAACAGAAATTTTGAAATACAAAGTAACGAAGGGGCGCCTACAGAGATCTCCCCAGATCTGCAAGTTACATGTATATAAAAAATTTGTACTAATATACCAAATGGTTAAAAAATGAATCTCCAAATTCTTTTCTCAAACATGCTGAGAAATTTAAAAAGAGCTTATAATATTTATATTCTAATTACAGAATACAAAAAAATTAAAAATTAGATCTTGGAATCATTTTTTTCTGTTAATGATTTAGCTGCCAATTTTCAATCTGCAATTTATATATTTAAGTCCCCAAACCACATTACTAATAAGTATGATTGTTGATAAACTATATAAGTAAAACTCTTTAGGATAAACAATGTATCTCTTAAATGGACACAGGCTCAAATTTGTCTTACTCTATAATTAGAGTATATTAAAAATAAATCTTTATACTTTTAAATGTTTTATCCTAAAAACTTTTCTTTATTATGCACTCTACGAAATAGAAACTCTTAAGCAAATTAAATGTTAGCCTAAAGGAAACAAAATCGAAATTAAGAATTACACAGATCCCACTTTAAATTCTAGCTCTGTCACTTACCTATTATGTAACCTGGAGTATAACTTTTCATTTGTAATAAAGAAACTTAACTACCCACTTTGAAATCAGTTGAAAGAACTAATCAAATATATCAAACAGTTCCTAATAAAACAACCGGTACATAGTAGGCATTCAAATGGTTCCTTTTCCCTTTTAGCCACTCATCTACTAAATTAACACAGATTTTATTTGGTGTTCTTGGTATTTAAGAGCTATTTTCCACACTTTTGGGAGTTACACTCAGGCTTATTCCTAGGTTTGATCGTTAAAATTTTTTGTGAGCTATTAGAGCAAGATAAATTATACATTACAAAATTCAATTCCTTATCACAAAAAGAAAATAATTAACTGTGTTTACTCACCTCAGTAGAGAATCCTACTAGTACATTGGTTGCTAAAGGGAGTGGGGTAAAAAGATGGCACTTAGCTCTGACAGAAAGTCTCTAGCAATAACTCAAAAGGTACAGGGAAGATGAGGATGAAATAGAAAACCTGAGTAACTTGGGTAGTGGGAGCCCATGAAGAATAGGTAAAAGGACATGTAAACCTGAGGCAGAAAATGCAAGTTTCTATATCATTAATTATGTGAACACAATTTCATCTAAAAAATGAGCACAACACTTAACTCATTTCAAGAAGCAAAGAAAACAATGCATGTAAAATCATGCTGAAACCATCCTAATTCTATGTAAATATTAATTACTCCAACATCATATGAAAATTCAGCTACCAAACATCTGGTAGGTTTAAGATAACAATCAGGCTAAAAGCAAAGAGGGTTTTCTTGTGCTTACAACTATGATTTATTTATTTATTTATTTGAATGATCTTTTTAACAGTGGTAAGTACCAAGTTAAACCATATGTAACTATTGCTCACAGTTATACTGTTATTTCATTCTGGATTTACTTCAGAGCTTTGGTTACATTTCATTAAATCAGAAATTATCAGGTTGAAGATTATACTTCATGTAATCATTCAGCATTAATAATAAATGTGAATATCAAAATTCAAAATACTTGATGATGGGTGAAAAACAATAATTCATGCACAAGAAGTCCAATATAAGATGTGGGTAATTTCTCAAGACAGAAGGACATTTCCATAAATCACTACTTGTTCAACAAATCATTTGAATGCCTACGATGTTCCAGGTTCATGAGGTTCCTATTTAAAAATTTTGAATAGTAAAGTCAGGTTTAAGACCAAGCAAGCTGTACCTAGAATTTCAACAGGTACCTAAATTCTACTCCTTGTTTGACAAGTACTAGAACCCAAGACAGAAATAGCAAGTATCTCTTAATGTTACAATATTAAAACAAAACAAAAACAAAAGCAAAAACTGGGGCAGTATTAATACCTGCCTTTCAAAGATAAACTCTTCTGTCAAATCTGAAGTCTGTGTGCTGGCCTCATCTATGCTTTTAAGACTTAACAATTTCTTAACCTTTCTTAAAACTCTATTACTCATAAATTAGTTCTACAAATATCAGAATATATACAATGAAGAAAATATAGTTAACTTAGTATGGTTTCATTTCTAAATGTATGAAACATAAGAGTAAACTAAGGGAACTTTTTATGTTGTTTACTAAGGGAACAATCTCTATCACATGATAGATGCTCACCATCCTTGAATGCCAGATATTAGGTTCTACCAGCTTTGCTAGTATGATTCTCAGATTTACCAGCTATTCTCTATATTCAAATCCTGCTTACTGTATTTTGGAATACTCTGAGATTAAGGAGGAGTCACTGTTTGGCACTTTGCAAACCACAGTACACAGATTAAGGGCACTCTCTTGACTTCCATCACTGCCCACAGCATAAACTTCCTCACTCAAGGTCTTGAGAACTGGTTTTCTATGTCTACTTCCCTTTTTATTATCTAGAATGAAATAGGAAGAAAGATTGCAACTAAAAACCTTACTTTCAACTTAGTTTCATGAAAGTAATATTTAATTTTTTGCTTTTAGCCCAATGATCAATATACCCCAATTATATCCTCTTCTGAAAATTCCATTTAAAGTTAACATAAAAGTTTTCAGGATTAATGAACTGAATCAATCACCTTTTGAATGATTTCAAACAGTAACTTTTTACAGGAATTAGGATTAAAAACTTACAAAATCACATATGCATAAAATAGATACTAATACCAATCTAAGTCAATGAATGCCATTATCAAAGTTTAGTCCCCCCCCCCAACACTTTATATAAATAATGTCATTTACCTGAAGTTGTTCCACAGTTTCTTTGTGAGCTTTTTCCATACTGTTCATCTTTGTTCTCAAATTTGACTCTTGGTACTGAAAGTCTGCCTTTAGTTCAGTTAACTGAAAGAATAAAAGAAAAAGTATATATACACACACACACACACACACAATATATATGTGCTGCCTCAAAATATATATATATATCTCTGCCCATATAAACAACATTTAAATATTTCTAACATTTTTGTGAAACAGATGTTAACAACATTTTCCTGAGTTTTATAATTTAGTTAGAATTTGTTCTGTGAACTGATGAATTCTGTCTGCTTTTATTAAACTTAAGTTGAGATTTTTGTTTTTGGCTTCAACGGACAGAGCTACATTACCGGTATACTAAATTATGTTAATATATTAGCGTTTCAATTAAAATGTAATTCACATTAGTATAAGCAAAAGTAAACATTTAAACTAGTTTTGAATTAAAATAATCTTTCAGTGGTAAAAGGAAAAAAAGTTTCACAATGGGTAAGTATAAAGAGGAATAGTCCTATAAACCAAGAGCTGTAATTACTTGTAAATTTATGTCCAGGATTATGTGCACAATACTACTACAGTAACATTTTCACTCGAGATAAAAATGGAGAACAAAGCACAGAAATACAACTAATGTAGAATGAGAAGGGAAAGATGGTTACCAAAAAATTTAAGCTAAATTAGCAAATATAAGAAAAAATCAGTGGCTTGAGAAAGCAGACTACATGTCAAATTTTTAATAAACATAAATAACATATACAAAATATCTCATCCAACTAAAAAGTGATTACATACATGCAGAAGCTGCTTTAGGTTATTTTCAAGTGTTTTTCACTATGCAAGATTTAAGTTTATTTATTTTTTTCCTATCATTATCCAGTATCCAGTAAACCAAAAGGTATACAATAGCAAAAACAAAGTCACAATGTCTGACATTCCTCTTTCCAAATAAAATCCCTTGCTTTATCATATTCAAATAACTAAATTTTCTATTTTTCCATATTATAGAACTCCAGTTCTGAAATGCCAGTCCACATCAGATCAACTAAGATAATTATTCTATTCATTATATTGTAGTTTCCTCCAATGTATAAACTTCTATAAGATAAAGACTGTGTCTTATTTTTCTTTGTACCCCCATGACCTAATGTCTAGCTCTAGAAGTCAATGAAAACCTGAAACAAATTCAGAAAAATAACTTTTCTTAGATTTAAAAGAAAAAGTTACTAACTTACTAGATTTATGTTTCTTACAACACTGCTAATTTCAATCCACTGGTTTTTTTTGTTTTTGTTTTAATGAGGAACACTGACAACAACAACAACAAAAAACCTTCAATCAACTAAACTAATACAGAATAGTAATGGCAGAGAGGGAAAACAAGTCAGTATTCCACAAGTATAACTACTTGGTTTTCGAATCTCTCAATTTTGCAGTAAGTTTGGCATTTTATTCATCTTTTCTCAAGTTTAACGTAGATATACTTGGCTTTGTATAATAAAGTTTCTCTAAAATTTTGTGCATAGAAAATATTTCCATAAAGGCATTAATTTTAAAAAATGTTATCAAAAGAACTATAAAAACCACCTATAACTATCCTATTTTACCTAACATGTCAATTTTAATTTTCCTATACTAAATTTAGGTACAAATGTATCTAAATATACATATCCATCAAAGGTGAGAAAGTGTTGAATGCCAGAAGTAAAAGCCAGCTCAGGCTCAAGTTCTGCTACTATGGAGACTCAGAAATAATCCATGTATGTATTTATAATCATGTCTTATGTTTTTGGGGGGTTACCAGGAATCAAACCAGGGGTGTTTTTACCCTGAGCTGCATTTCCGGTCCTTTTTGAGACAGGATCTCACTAAGTTGCTTAGGGCCTTGCTAAGTTGCTGAGGTTGGTGTCAAACCAACAATCCTCCTGCTTCAGCTTTCCAAGTTTTGGGGATTACATGTGTGCACCACCACATCCACATGTTTTATACTCTTAAATGGAATGTTTTTAATGTTCTCCTACTGCATAAGACATTTGTTTAATATAGGCTAAACTGCATTCTCTGGGATAACAAAACAAGTACAAGAGTAGGTTCTATCCTCAAAGATCATAAAACATTGGTAATGGCATCCATGAGCACTTAAGTCAGAAGCTATAATACACACTTTGCATATTCATTTAATCACTTTCCCATTCAATAAGAGTAGCAGTGATGGTTTATTTTTTAAATGAGAAAACCAAGGTCTAAAGAAAAGGAAATATTCTGCTCAACATCACAAAGTGACAGAACTGAGTTTGAACCCTGAGTATGGCTAAATGTCTTCAAAATCCATTTCCTGCTCCATTCTTGCCCACTATTATCCAATCCTAATATCATGGCATAAGAAAACCTTAAATCCATAATTCTATTAACATTCCTCTTTTCCCTAAAAGGACAACTTATGTGATATTCCTATTAAGTTAACAGAGAAACTAAGTATCAGTAAGTATGCTTCCTACAAAATGATCTTAGGTACCTAATGCAAATGAGTACTACACAGGAAATTCTTATACCATTACTTTTAACCAATAGTTATTTGATCTGGACTGATAAAAACAAATCATCAGTATATATCAGAGTATATTCGATTACTTTCTTAAACCACAAGAACTCACACAATATTCCAATCACATCTCATTTTCAAATTAAGTTATTAGACCTATTTTAAAATTACATGCTTAGTGAAAACTGGAATTATTACTACTCTAATTAGCTCTCAGTTAACTCTTAGAATCACAAAAATTTTGAAAGACCATTTTTACTTATCTTCATTAGTTAGTTTGGTAATTTATCAGAATCGTGAATGACAAACATTACCAAAGTATTTAGGAAAATTTCCAATTATCAAGTGATAGTCAAGACATTATTCTTTTTTTTAAATAGTTTTTTAGTCATTGATGGACCTTTACTTTTATTTACTTGTATAAGGTGCTGAGAGTTGAACCTAGTACCTCACACATGCTAGGCAAACGCTCTGCCACTAAGCTACAATCCCAACTCTGGACATTATTCTTAAGCAGCTTCAGTGAGCCATGCTCTTACCTTTTTATCTTTTTCTAAAATGGTCTGGTCTCTTTGCTGTAAGAGACGCTTAAGTGACATCACCTCTTCTTTCAGTTGACTTATAAGGACAAAATTGTCTGTTCCCCCACTATCTGCTGACTGATTTATAGAGCTACTAAAAAAAAAAAAAAAAGGTAAAACACAGTTAAATAAAGTAGAAGAAAAATCAGCATGTGTTCAAATTGCATAAATTAGACAATTCCACAAACATCCTTAAGGCTAATGCAAAAAAATATGTACCTGACAGAAATGGATGCAACTGGCAAATTACCTTACTAATGGCACACATTACATACACCTGCAGAAATATAATTCAGTATTAGCTTTTAGGGGGTCAATACTTCTAGTGTAAAGCAATAGGCAGCCAATTTGTACAGTAACATCAGCAAACTTTTGGCTAATGAACTAAAACAAAGTTACACTAAAAATATTTCAAATCTAAAAACATTTTCTAAGTAGGTCAATTTTAAAATATCACAATCAAGATTTGTGTTTCCTTGAAGAACAATTACAATAATGTTCTTTATTCAATGTTTTCTTGTTTTCAAAACCCAAATTCATTCCCAACTAGAACAACAAAAGTTTAGTGCCACTTTCTTATTGCCAAAATTAATCTTTTTTAACTGATGTTTATTCTTCTAGATGACTCAAAGAAGTCAGTGTAGAAGACACATGTTTCTTTCTATTCTCTTATCTAGTAATAACTGGCAATCAACCATAACTGTTCAATTGAGTTAAATTTTTACACCACTAAAGGAATTCATTTTTACCTATCTCCATTAGATGGCTTAGATTCCAATTTGGGCTTTTTCTTTGGAGTTTCATTCTGAATTGCTGCAGAGGATTTATGGCTGAAACCAAACATTAATAAGAATAATTAGATAAAAAGGATAGTAGCACCAAGTGATAAGTTATTCTTCTTCCCCTAAAATATTACTAAACCACACTGATACTTTTAAAGTCTAAGTAACAAAGTTAAAGGAATATCACACAAGAATACATTTCAAATATTTCGGAAAATATGTTAATGTATTTACCTTTGTTTCCACAGTCCCTGCTCTTGTTCTGGACTGAGATTGCTGATTCTGAAAAATACATAAACGACATCTGATAACAATACTTATTTAACACATATATAATAGCATTCTTTCTCAATGGAATCAAATTATTATGTCATAAACAAAACATTATAAATCTTTTGTTCATAGAAAGGTGTATTTAATTAAATTTTCAAGCTAACCTAATATATATTTTATATATTATATTTTAATGGAATAAATTCTAGTCAAATGACTTCTAGCCACATTAAATTTTCAAAAACATGTTCAGTGGTAGAGATTAAACTTTCTTCTTCATCATGAGTGCCAAAATTCCATTTACTATACCAAGGGTTGGAGTATATAAACATAAAAACTATAACAGGGTTCTATAATTATAAAATCTAAGAATCACTATACTTCAGCTACCCTTAGTATTTCATACAAAAAATTGTATCTTTAAAGTCAAGACTTTTTTAATAATCCAAAATGGAGACACTTTCTTTCAAGGAACTCAATTTGCTCAGAATAATGCATCATGCTGGTTGAAGAACTATCTTATTTCCTTTGATATTTTCCTAGTTTTCCTAAGAATCCTCTCTGAAGTCTTTAGATCTTTCTTTAGTCAGTAGTCTAGAGAAGGCATACTGAAAACAATAAAAGATTCACAGTAAAAAATGATTGTCCTTTGACTTAGAATGATGATGTCAGTTTCATTTTGCCATGTTAATAAATTAACTTATAACTCATTATGAATTCCACATTTTTTTTCTTCTGAACTTGCACTTTAGTCAATCCTTTACTAATGTCTTTATTCATTTAACAGGTATACAGCATCTCCTGCAAGCCAGATATTATACAATTTAAGAGATTAAAAACATGTAAGCTATGTAACATTGGGCAAGTTATTCAAAATTCCTCAATCTCAGTTCCCCCATCTGTGCATGGATGCAGTGCATTTCTTACAAGGACAAAAACACTTAGTACAGTGCTAGCATATACAATATGTATGTATGTATAAAATATACATTGTTTTAGCTATTGGAAATATTTATTTATGTATGTATAAAATATGTATGTATAAAATATACTTTTGTTTTAGCTGTGGGAAATATTTAAGCCAATTTATGTATGTATAAAATATACTTTTGTTTTAGCTATGGGAAATATTTAAGCCAAAGTAAAAAACAAACTGTGTTCTTAAGAATCATTTTTAAGTAAATAGTAAGTTGAGGAAATCATAACTGTAACTCTTATCAACCTGAGTTACTCTTTTGTGTCAATGAATGGCAATTCTACTGAGAAATTCTTTTACATATTTCACTAACAAAATAAGCATTAAGAAGCCAAATAATCATACATCAATTAATAACACTAATTAGATACTGAAGTGAGAACAATCACATTAATACTACTTATCAGAAACACTTGGAATCCCCATCTTAGTTTTCTGAGAGGTGACCATTCCTGAATCCAAACTTAACTTAGCATCATAACTGCTGTGACCATGACCATACCATCCCTGCACACCAATCACCATCTATCACAATATGTATGTTTCTCATATTTGTTTTGATCTATTCAATTTATCCCTAAAAACTAGCTGCCTGTTCATGAAACGGTCCCTGACCATCAAATATAAAATGGTAAAGTTGGCCCTTCATATCCTCAGGTTCCACATCTGAGGATTCAACTAACTGTGGATGAAAAGCATCATTAGATTGTTGTTGTCTGTACTGAATACATATTTTTTTTCTCCTCATTATTCTCTGAACAATACAGTACAGCAATTGTTATGTAACATTTACATTCCAATGGTATTTTAAATAATTTAGAGATGATTTGAAGTACATGAGAAGATGTACAGAGGTTATGTGCAAAAACTGCCCTTTTTTTTGAATTTGGGTTTTATTTATTCTTATTTTCTTTTTTTTATTAGTTGTTCAAAACATTACATAGCTCTTGACATATCATATTTCATACATTTGATTCAAGTGGGTTACGAACTCCCATTTTTACCCCATATACAAAAGGCACAGTTTTTTTTTTTTATTCTGAAAACTGTGCCTTTTTAAATAAGGGAACTGAGGACTTGAAACCAATTGCCAGTGGATACTTACTAATGACTATATATTTGTATTTCTTTAGTCAAAAGAAAAGAAAATTGGAAAGTGAAGACTGTCCTTTTCCCCTTTATTCTAGAAACCTGTTATTCTTTCCAAAGATTAGGTTACTGCCACCTCATTTGATCTTTCAAATATACAAAAAAAAGCTATCTACAATGACAGGGAAAATAGACATTCTGGCAGAGTCTTCAGATTAAGTAGGCAGATGCCATTATAGTATATAATTATCTTGTTGTATTTTTTTTCTCAAATCAAGAAGCAAAAACAAGGAAATTTTATGTACATTCTCCCTTTGGGAAACTGATAGAATGACCACAAAATTCCTTCAAAAGTGCCAAATTAGAATTGTTGTCTACCAAAACAAACAAACAAAAAAAGAATTGCCATCTACTATATCATGCCTAGGAAATAAACTAGTAAACATAGTGCCTTGATAAATCCTCAAAATTTTCCAGTTCATAATCAAATCTTAATTAGGCAGAACTACTCTGTGTTCCAAAATGTGGTGGGTATCTGTTTTCTATATATGATATTATATTTTAACTATCTATCAGAAATTAAAGTCATAGTAAAATTTAGGAAAAAACAATGAAGTCTTCTGAAAATGGGTGTGCATCATGTTCCTGATTTGTGTTTATGCATTCAATTTGTATTTTAATATTCATTTTTCCATGAGAAATAAAATCACTTTTTAGAAGTATACTACACAGAGTTAAAATATTACTGCTACATAACTCCCCATTGCCCCAAGTCACTTTAAAAAAATCAAGTAGTCCACGAATGAATAAAATAAAGGTCCATCGACATCTTAAAAAAAAAATATATCAAGTACTATTTGTATTTGAATAGGGTTCTTACTTTGTGTTTTAAAAACCAGCAAAGCACCACTAGTTTAAAATAGTAGTTCTCATACTTTGGTGACCTCCAAGATTAAGAATGCTTCCACAAGCCAGGTGTGGTGGCACACACCTGTAATCCCAGTAGCTCCGTAGGCTTAGGCAGGAGAATCACAAGTTCAAGAACAGCCTCAGCAATTTAGCAAGGCCCTAAGCAACTTAGCAAGATCCTGCCTTAAAATGAAATTAAAAAAAGGCAGGCTGGGGCTGTAGCTAAGAGCACTTGCCTAGTATAGGTGAGGCACTGGGTTCCATTCTTAGTGTCACATAAAGATAAACATAAAGGTATTCTGTCCACCTACAACTACTAAAAAAATAAAAATAAATAATTAAAAAAAAAAGGACTGGATATGTAGCTCAATAGTAAAATACATCTGGGTTAAATTCCTAGTTTAAAAAAGCATCTACAGGTAACAGGAATGCACTCAGTGGAGTGGTAGAGCTCATGCTTAGCACTCATTAGCACTAGGTTCAATTCCTCACACCCCTCCACCAAACACACAAAACATGCTTCTACTAACGTCTACTAAGTCACAAGTGGTAATGTTACAAAGTATTCTCCAAAAAGATTAGATGTATTTTTTAGTCACTGGCTTATTTGCTTTTAATTAATGACAACTGGTGTAAATATAAATTTTTATAAGTAAAATCCCAATGATTAACCCTCTGAAAAAACTGAGGCTCTTGATAACTGAAATCAGTGAAGTATTCTCTCTGATGTATTACTATTTTGACTATGTATAATCATTTTATGTTATTCCCTAAATGCCCTATCATTAATAATTATGATAAACACCTAAACATTTTCCATGTGTATAATTTTACACACTGCTTAGTACATAACACAGCTTGAGATACTCAAGAAGATTACAATATAAAATGAAAATTAGAGCAGCACCTAGTTAACAATGGCAAATAAACATCAATATGGCATTAAAACACTGGGAAGGACTTTAGAAAACCTGACTTCAAAGTACTTACTTGTGATGGCTACTGCTATGACGATGGTGATGATGATGATGGTGGTGATGATGTTTAGAATGATGCTGGTCTTTCTCCGTGAGAGATGAAGATGAAGAATTTGAATGAGAAGATCCCAGGCTCTTCCTTTGTTCTTTTGTCTTCTGTAAAACTCTCTTGTATGATAAAGTACACAGCCAGCACAGTAATTTTCCATCAACCTTTTAAGAAAATATTGGTATTAAATTAAATGTATTTATCTGTCTGTAAATGAAACCAGATAAGACACACTGCTCAACTTCTAGTTACATTGCACGTATATGTGCAAAATTCTGTGAATATATACATTCACAGATCTTTGCAAAATGGAAGCCAAATTAGACTTTTCTCAAAACTTTTTGTTTATGATATATGGACTTCCTTTAGTCCTGAGGCATTTTAATTGTGAAGAGACATTTTACCTTTTTTCTTATTCCTACAAAATAAGCATAAATTGCTGACATACTTCCAAGTAATCTAGTCTGACCTCTTAAGTCACTGTGTGATTATCAAAATGATAAAGTATTTCCTCAACAGTAAAGTATTGTGAATTTACAGAAAAATAGGAGTGCTTAAATAATATAATTGATTCTCGTCATTTTCAGATTTCATATTTGCAGATTTGCCTTTTTGCTAAAATTTATTTGTAACCCTCAAAAAAAATAAAATTTATTTGCAGCATATTTGTGGCTATTCACACCCAGCAGGTACATAGCACTGAAAAGTGTGGCACCAGAAGATACACATTCCCAATTAAGGCAGAAGGTAACATTCTACCTTCTTGTTTTATATTTCATACAATAAACAACTGTCCTTTTCACTAATGCTGTATTTTTCAAGTTTTTGAGTTTTCTTTTGTGATTTTGTTTTAATAGTCCCAAAGAGTAATGATGAAGTGTTGGCCAGAGCTCCTATGCTCAAGAAGGTTGTGATGTACCTTATGAAAAAATACATGTTTAGATAAACTTTATTCAGGCATCATTAGCACTACTCAATTAAATTAATCAGTTACATATATATGCAATAAGGCATCTCTAAGGGTAAATACAAAATAATATTATGTACTGTTAGATTGCCCAACATGTTATAAATAGACACAGGAACCTAATCCTGTATTTCCCTTAGGAATTCAGTTTTCATCAATTCAGTATTTCTGGCAACTTCAAAGAATGTTAACTACTGCAAATAACGAGAATCAATTGTTATGTGAGTCAATGGAGAGGGAGAGAATTCTTTCCAAAATTAAGACAAAACCTATAAAATAGTTTCTGTCTTCTGTTTTTCACACAAAAAGTGCTGGAGGGGCATGTCTTACAACTAAGGTACATACATTGCTGTGGGGGGACCTGGGGAAGCCCCTCAAAGAGACAGTCATCCTCCAAGTCAACTGAAACTGATAGACAACAGGAGGCCTGTGTGAATGCTGATCAGCAGAAGAATGCCACATGCATACACATAATTATTAAGTCACTGTAGGTAGAGAAAAACAAACAATGGTTTCAAATATGAGCCCATATCAAAAGGCAGTAGACTAACTTTGAATTTTATGTGCTAATATGCCATCAGGTATTTTTTTTTCACACAAGCAATTTCAAGTAACCAGCAAAAGGGTAAATAGGTGAAAAGATTTACTCAATAAAAATCTGTCTCAGAAATCATATTGGTGGGCAACCAAATAGTGGAGAATAGCCATCACAGAATTATTTATTTATTCTTTTTGAAATGCTGGTCTCACTAAGTTACCCAAGCTGGTATTGAACTGCAAGCCTCCTGCCTCAGCATCTTGAGTAGCTGGAACTACAAGTGTGTGCCACCGTGCCTGGATTGAAATTTTAAAAGTAACCCTGAATGATTGACATGAATTCACATACGATGCAAAGAAGGAAAAAATTCATTATTTTCAGTATTCTTATGCTTTCATCTAACTATCTGCTTTCAGGACCCAAAAAATAATCATATCTGATCCCTGTATCAATTATAAATTCTAGGTTGGTTGGTATATTATTTAATTTCAGGAAGATACCATAATATAAATAAAACATACCTTTCTTCTTCCTTCCTCCTTCCGATCAAAAGCACATTGTTGTTTGCACTGTTCACAAGTCTGAGGTGGTCCATACTTTTTTTCTGAATTTGTGCAACGCTGGCACTTGGTACCGATAAATGCTGCAATTATGTTACAGTACTGACAAGGTTTTGGCTGAAAAGCAGACATACATTTTGACTGAGACATTAAAAAACATTCAAGTTTGCTGCATAAAGTTCCTTACATATAAATGGAACTCTAGGATAAAATTAAGGAAACTAAAAGGTAAAAAACTGGTTTTCGCTCAAATATGTCATCTGCCATATTTAATAACGCTTATGTTTCTATTCATTCAATTAATATTTATCTGTAGAGTCATGAAACTCATTGTTACTCTATTAGAATGTTTAAAAGATAAGATACATTTTCATACAAAAGCTGCACATAAAAAAAGCCTCAAAGAATTAACATAAAAGAATATAGGGACATAAAAAAAACCTCATATATCCAAATTTGAGGAATGAACTTCTAATAATATCCTGTTTAGTTACTGTGTCATTTGTGAAAAAAAAAAAAATTTAACTTTTTGTCATATAAAGGAACACATAAAAATAAACTATAGGTCAATCTTCAACTTAAAAAATTGACAAACATGTTCAATATAAATTATAATAAAAATATCTTCATATACTTGAATATTCAAAAGACAATTTTGATTAGTAGTCTTAATGTGAACATTTTGACCAATAATAATGTTGCCAATATACCAATAATTGCTTTAGTACACACGTAAGACAATTTTTATTAGTGTATTGTTATAATTGTTGTGAATAAGTACCTGAACTATATTGCTGTATAAAAATAGTTCTAAAGAGAAAAAAAAGAGTTTGTTTATGCAAATTTTATGGCTAAGTAGATTCTCAAAAAGAAGTCCTCTATATTTAAATGTTTAAAGAATAACTTTATACACAGTACTTAAAAAATGCACATAGTTTGTTTTTAAATGTAGTCTTGCCATAAGACTATCTACAGAAAATTTCTCCCATGAAGTATTTTGATATGTTTGAATACATAAGAACATAACACTATATAATTTCTAAAAGTTTTTGTCTTTGTGACAAACATTAACAGACCAGTAACAAAAAAAATCTTAAGACATACTTACGGTCCCAAATTGCTTCACATTTTGAGCACACTTCTTACAAATTGTATTCGTTTTGCTGAAAGGAAAATATATATAGATGACCACATTATGTAGTTTTCTGGGGTAATCAGCACAGCGTTGAGCTAAATGTAGTACCTAAACTTTAATTTAGTAAATTTTATTCAAAAAAGACAAACTTAAAGTTTTTTTTTAAGGTTATTTTATCCAAATTTACTTCTCTTCCATTAACTTAAGTCAAATGTTATACTTCTTTATTGGGTATTTTTTTTGTAAAGGGAACAAAACAAAAAATCCTAATGTCTCCTCTCTAGTTTTACCATTTTCACACGTCACCATTAATGCACAGAATTATCAGTGCCTACGTAACTTTCTACTCAGCCATTCTCCATTAATTTGATACCCACTCATGAAGAAATCGGTTGTTCTGTTAGGCTACTTTCTTGTATGTGCTCTCAAAGTGCCTATTAAAAAAGTCTGTGCTATTCTTCGGTGAATCAGTGACTTGATTGCATGCTTGGAAGGCATTTGGTAACACTACTAACTTTTCCTCAAGTCCATTAACATTTTGGATTTTAATAGCAATTTTTATATTTGCATTTTTGTTATCAAGACTGAACATTTTCCATTTATCCCTCTTTTTTAAAATTTACCCCTCTTTTTTTCATGTATAAACTGAACTCTAGTTGTAAAGTAAAAACCAGGTATTTTTTGTCAACATTCTCTGTCCCACCATATATAAAAGGTTTATAACTTAAAACTTCAAAAACTAAGGCATCCCATATCAGAGTAACATAGATATGGGATTATAATCCCCAAGTATTCCTTAGACAACATTTGTTTTTAACAATCAAAAACTATTCAGTATACAAACCTTTCTTGTTGAAATTCTGATCTGCAGTAAGTACATTTTACAATGGGATGTGCAATCCGACATTCCTGTAATAAGAAAATACATTAGTCAGCATCTACCTCAAAGTCTTGAATCTCACTTTTCTGGTAGAAAATTATTACCCAACCTAATCAAATGACTAAAACATCAATAAAACCTGGCCCCCAACGTAAAAAATTGGGTGACTTATCATGTAAGTGGCCAATCACAACATAATTCCTTAGGGAAGGCATAGTTGTCTTTGTCTTCATTAGATATGTGGGATATATTACAGATAATTTAAGAAAGCTGTCAGGGATGATTTCAAGGGTTGGTTAAATGTGAAACTACTTGTTATTTTACACCGTTGCTCACAGACAGCATCCTGGCTTTAATGGGATGGGAGGAGCTCCAAATCATAGAGCATTCTGTTCCCAAACCAGTCGCTTCGCTTTCCTGGACAGGGAAGAAGGATGCCATCAGCTTTGCGGCTTCAGGTTCCTAGCAAGAAAGTGCAAAAACCGTCCCCTGCCTCCTGGTGGAAGGAGAGGACAGACCAGGCAGAAAACCAAGATGAAAATATCTCCACCCCAGGATTTCTGCGGCATAAGACAGGTGGCTGCTTCACTCAGCCCCACCCGAGACCCTCGGACGGTAATGGGGCCCGGCTCCCTCCTGGACTGCCTGGAAGAGGGTAAGATGCTGTCTCCCCTCAGGGGTCTTTCCCACCTGATGCCCAGACCCTCGGATAAAAGGGTCCCAAGGTGCGGAGGTAGGACTCCAGACTCCCAAACCCCGAGGCGCCAGCGAAGAGCCGGGTGCCCTACAGCGGGCACCCAGCCCCTCGGGATGAGGCAAAGGAAACCCCGCCCGCCCGGTGCCCACGGACCTTGCAGAGCTGCTGGCCCTGGGAGAGCTCCTCGAAGGGATAACGCTGGGTACACTTGGTGCAGGCGTAGAGGGCCGAGGCCGCCATCCTGCTCCTCAATCTCCTCCTCCACAGCCGCCCGCTCCGAGGCGGGGCCCTACGGAGAACTCGGGCGCCGCCGCTGCCCGGGCCGCGGACTCCTCCTCCTCCCCCACCCCCTTCCTTTCGCCCACCAGGGCCTCACCGCAAGAGCCCCAGGCTCCGCGGACACCGCCGTCTCCCTCCGCCTACACTTCCGCCCCAGCCCACCCAGTGACGCTGTCCCAGCCGCTCCCGCTGAGGTCCCGATAGCGGCGGAGGGAGACGAAGCGGGTAGCTCAATGCGGTTTAGCTGCGCGACCGCGGATCCGCTTCCTTCTCCACCTCGCTTCCGCAACCCTGATTGGCTGCGGAGGACATCGCGTCACTCGGCCGCTCCTCCCAACCCCTAGACCCGGTTACGCTGGAGCGCCCACAAAGGGAGGAAGGCGCTGGCCAATAAGAGTCCGACGCTCTCAGAGCGCGAAATCCACTTCGAATCTGCCCCGCCCAAAAGTCCTGGTCGCCGCAGGTTCCAGCAGCGTATCTTAGATTTGGGTCAGGGCTCCCCAATCCAATTGGGCAAATGTTCGCGAAGGTTTGCTTTCTCTTTCTGCTCCTTTTCATTTGACTTTCATTAGACTAAACCATTAAGCCCCTCCTATTTTGTTATTGGTCAGAAGGTCAATACTTCACCTGGAGAGGCGTCCCCGAGTCTAGCTCACGCTCTCTCGCGGGTCAAATCCAAAAGAAATGATGGAGTGTTTGAACTTCTCGTTCGTTTTTATTCTGCTTCAATCATTCCATTCAGTTGCCACTGGCGACAACACAAACCCTGGCTCACATTTCCTCTTGGAAAGGAATCCCCTTTGTAGAATCCCTTTGCAGGATTCCCTGAGTTGCCTAGCAGCCGGCAGCGCGACCAGGCCCTGGCAGACGCAGCTGCGCGATACTTGTGACGTCACCGAGGAAGAGGCGAATTTTCTCCAACCAAAGGAAGACGTCCGCTTTTTTGATTGGCTATAGAAGACGTCTGTTAGGACGTGTTGTTGCCCTCTTCGCGTGCGCTGTGAGCGCGGGCGTCCCACTGGGGGTGTGTAGCAGGGGTATTTAGACCCGGCGCCACCACCCCCACCCCTCCCATCAGGGGTTCGGCTTAGGGTCGCCCCTGGGGGGCGGCTCTCGAGTCTTGAAGTAGTAGAGAATCTAGACCGCTCCGGAGCTGCGGAGGCCCGCGCTGGGCAGACAGAAAAATGGCGACGGCATCGGTCTCTGCAGTTTCTGATTCTCAGTTCTCGGTAAGAAGTGATCGGCATTCGAATAGGCTTTAGGTTGGTTCCAGCGCCTTTTTACACTTCCACGTTTCAGGCCGTTTTCGGTTCCTCTTCTGACCCCATCCTGGAAGACAGCGTGTGGGGGGGTACCTAGATGGCTCCACGCTGCGCAGCTTTCTATTATTCCTAAGTCCTAGCTACACCCTCTAGCTTCCATTGAAACAGGCTGGTGCGTTTCTATTCTCATCCCTCATTCGCTTTGTGGCCTAGCAGGCCAGATTGCCTAATATTGCTGAGACTGGGCTTTGGCAGATCCTGGCCTGCGAAAACAGCTCCATTAGTCACGTGAGTGTAACGGCTCCTCTTGAAAACTCGCCTAGGCCAGGTAGTCACTGAGCGGTGCGCAGTCTCTTGAGTGTGCGTTTTAGTCGTTGCTTATGCAGTTTTCTTTGCAGTGCCTCCGCCTCCTATCTCATGAACTTTGTTGCGTGGCGCTTTCTGTAATGTTGCTAGGACTGCAATGTGGAAGTGCTGTTTGGGAGAGTCCACAGAGATAGTAAACATTGTTTTCACCACAAGAGTTACCAGCCAGTTTAGTCACTGGTATTTGGCAAATAGAAGTGTTGAACTCAGTGTTCTGGAAAATGCACACTGGGAAGACACAAGTAAATGTGATGAAGTTGGAGCCAATTTATAAATATTCAGTGCCTTGCAGACTGTTAAACTTTAAAATTTCTCAGATGAATAGGATAGAAATCTTACTCTGAAGGAGAGAAGCATTGAAGAGAAGTTATGCATAGATAATTATTACAGAGTACAGTTTTATAAGAGATACCATCACTAGAATAATTTAAGAGGGGAGGTGATTAGCAGTTCTTGGGTAGGTTAGAGAAGATTTCCTAAAGGGAAAGTGGAACTAGCTACCTACTGAAGGAGTTGTAATTGTCACAAAAATAGCAGGAGAAAGCACCGAAAGAATTTTGATCTTTAGCGACTGGCTTATTTCACTCAGCATGATAATCTCCAGATTTACCATTTGGAGGCAATTGTCAAAAAGTTATTCACAGTGAATAAATCTGACATAATTTTCCTGTGTGTATGTGTATGTGTATATATATATGAATACATCACGGTGAATCAATCCCACCATCGTGTACATCTACAAAAGTGGGGTCCTAAATTAGAATAAGATATATACCATGCTTGTATTATGTTATAATAGTTATATAAAATAGATTCAACTGTCTTGTACAACTAAAAAGAACTAATTTTAAAAAAAGAATTTTGAGATATGTGCCAAGACAAATAGATACTTTTTGAGGAAACTTGAGATAATCTGGAATAAACAGAGGTAATATGAAAATAGAGTTGGATGAGATGAACTAGAAAAGTAGATGAAAATGAAAAAAGAGTAAAGAAGTCAGAAGAATATCAATAATTTCATAGACACTAAAAGAGAATTTAGAGGAATGCATAGTCACCTGGGGAAGTCATATTTTCCCTTAGTTTCAGTTTTTTTATGACTATGATTAGAATTTTTGATAATGAGACCAGAAGTATCACAGGTATCCTTAGAATAGGGTAACAAGTTTCCAGAGCCTTCTGGGAGATTAAGGAAAAGTAATGAGTGAAACAATGGGAGTTCTTCAAGGATTCGATCAGAAAAAGGTAAGATAAAGAGAAACTGTTAGAAACATGTCAGATGATTGAATTATACAGAGGATGTGATTGATTAAACTTGGGAGAGGAATACTTTTTTCCATTGCTCTCAAAACTTAATGATTGGAGACCAAACCAGAAAGACTTCTGAGCCATTCTATGTATAATTCAGCCACTTGGTTGAGCAGTGCCACTGAGATGTAGTAAACCCTTGGTCCTTACAGTAGCTTTGAACAGAAATCCTTCCAGAGTTTCAGTTAGGAAAGCATAGATATTTTTATTGCATTAAGCTCAGCTTTAATTGGATTCTAAGTATCAAGACTGTGCTAATATTTTTACAAGTCAGAGTGCAACAAGTTTAATTATCTTGACTTGCTGCATTAAGATGTCTAATTTAGAAGTTACTATTTCTCAAAACAAAAACAAACTCACTTGGTTTCTCAGTGCACAAGAAATGGCGCTACTTAGTAAATGTCCCATTAGAAATAAAGCTGTCATTTACAACAGAATTTGAAAAGCAAATTAGCAAACAGCCGATAATAAGTAATACGATATTAGAAAACTTTAAAACTACAACATGAAACCAGAAGCCTACTCATTAAGATGTCAGGGTTGTGAATATTAACAATTTGTATGTTTTACATTGAAAACCCAATACCAAACTAATTACAATAAATGGAGATGTTTTACACAAATAATAATCTTTAGAAAGAAGCTACCATATAAATCTCAAACACGGACAACATGAGAGCAGTAGTCAGTCTTTTTGGAGTATTTTTTTTTCATTGCAGCAACAGCAAGATTAGCAACAGCAGATAACATTTATTGTTTGTTATCAACTCACTGTTAAGAGACAACAGGAATACAACATAATTGGGCTTAATGAAATTAATACTAAGTAAAGATAGATAACATAGTGTTGAAACAGCAAAATGACTTTATGTTCCGTTAATTTTTTAAAATTTATTCATTTATTTTTATTGATTTTTAATAAATGACAACAGAATGCATTACAATTCATATTATACATAAAGTATGTTCACACCAATTCATGTTTTCATACATGTACTTTGGATAATGTTGTCCATCACATTGCACCATCATTGCTAACCCCTTGTCCCTTCCTTTCCCTTCCACCCCTCTGCTCTATCTAGAGTTTGTCTATTTCCCCCTCCCTATCCCACTATGAATCAGTCTCCTTATATCAGAGAAAACATTCAGCATTTGTTTTTAGCATTATCATCTCCAGCTCCATCCATTTACCTGCAAATGCCGTGATTTTATGATCTTTTATTACTGAGTACTATTCCATTATGTATATATGCCACATTTTTCTTATTCATCTTGTGAAGGACATCTAGGTTGGTTCCACAGTTTGGCTATTGTGAATTTTGTTGTTATAAATGTTGATGTGGCTGTGTCCCTATAGTATGCTGGGTATAGACTGAGGAGAGGGAAAGCTGGGTCAAATGGTGGTTTCATTCCAAGTTTTCCAAGGAATCTCCATGCTGCTTTCCATATTGGCTGCACCAATTTGCAGTCCCACCAGCAATGTATAAGTGTATCTTTTTCCCCACATCCTCACCAACACTTAGTGTTGTTTGTCTGCGTATTAGCTCCCATTCTGACTGGAGTGAGATGAAATCTTAGAGTAGTTTTGATTTGCATTTCTCGAATTGCTGGAGATGATGAACATTTTTTTCATATATTTGTTGATTGATTATATATTCTCTTCTGAGAAGTGTCTGTTCAGGCCATCTGTTAATATTTTCTTAATCCACGTGTAACATCCTTTTGTCACTTTTGACTTAATAAATTAATCTCCTAATTTGTCTTAAGCTTTTTAGTCCCGTCCTTTAGCCAAGCAACACAGTAGCTTCGTATTAATTTCCATGAATTTTTTTGAATATATCATAGATTTTATAATATGAAATATATTTTAAGATATATTTTATTTTGGGGGATAATAAAGTGAATGCTTCCCTGCTTTTT